AATATACAGATGATACTAAATATATTTATATTTTAATTCTGAGTCATTTTAATGTCAATTTCGTTTTAAATTTCTTCAGCTGAATCAGTAGAATCCTTTTTGAACTTCTCATAATTGTGTTCAGGTTCACATGGCAATTTAACCTTTACAAATATCACCATTTGAAGAGGGGGAAACGTACCTAAACCACTAGAAAAAAAATCAGGAAGTTACAATAAAATAGTCATCCAGCAGCACTGTTTCATAATTCTTAATATTCACCTGACAGCCAAACTTGGGTTTCATAATTGGCTTTTTTTGATAAGACTGCTATGCAGAGAAAAAGAAGACATGGGTAATTAAACAGGTGAAAGAAGCGGTTTTATTTGGTTGTCTGCAGTTCCAAGAAGTGAAATGCACACAAAGGAGAAAAATATTTTTAATCCACATACTCCTCTCAGAAATAAAACATAATAATAATAATAGTAAAGAAAACCAAACCACTCAAAGCCAAGATAGAGGGATTATTGTCTGTACAAAGTACCTGAAAAATAAAATGGGATTTCTAAAAAAAGGTCTATTTTCTAAGACTGCAAATACGTTGTGAATTTATGCTATCATATTTAGAAGAGTATACTAAACAAATAGCTAAATGTGTAAAAAAATATTTAGTAATTAAAGATAATGCTAAATACAGGTTTTAAAAATGAGAGTGACAAAACATAAATTATTGTTTTTCAGTGGAGGTGATGAGGTTTGAAATTTTGTTGTCTTTAGATAAACTACAACGTGCAGATTTGGAATTTGATTCAAAGGCATTTCAAATTAAAAAGCATCATAACTTCTCATCAGCTGCAATCTTGCAAGAAACAGAGCTAGCACACTGTAGATCCCTTTTACATAGAGCAAAAACATATTCGTATAAAAGGGCAGATATTCCTACTTCATTCTCTGTTAGCAAGGGTACAAGGGTGCAAATGATTGCAATATTATACTGTATTATATTATATATAATATATATTCAGTGAATTTGCAAACTCCTGTGTTTTCTACTACCAGAGTTTTAGTGGAAGGGTTCCACTTGTGCCTTCAGGAGAGGAGAGGAGTCTGAAGTACTTTAGGTGAAAAACAGAAGTAGGGAGGGGACATAAGATACATTCAGGGTAGAACACAATAGCTGCTAGATACAATAAGCCCTCTGGCCTTTGGCTCCAGAGTTCACAGCTGCAGCAACTATGCTGACTTATCTGGGACTCAGTCTTCCAAAGTCTTTGCCAGGCTGTGCAAAAGGTTCAGGCAAAAGATTAACATGTTAAATTGAATTTCACAAATTCAGAATCAAAATCTTGATAACTAGCTGTTATTAATGGGAAGTTGTTTATTTCTTTTTCTCTTCCATTTGCAGAAATATTTTTCTCTCAACAATTCTAATAATTATTTTGTCCATCTTGTATTTATTCCTGCATCTAAACCTCACAATTCGCCAATTAATTTCCAGCTCACAATTGCTACATTTTAAGTGCCATTATTCATCTAGCAACTTGGGATAAAAAATCCAGATTTTGCTTCTGTTCCTCAAGCTTTTCAGATGAACTGTACCAAAACCACAAGAAAGTGTACAAGTCCCCATATTAATTATATGTGATATTGAACAATTAACAGAAACCAACCATTTGCATTTTAATAGTGTTCTAACAATCTGGTAAATGAATCCATTAATCTTTATTAGCTGAGTATCAGACACTGGACTGTAGAATTCACTGATGTGTATCGATAAAAAGAGGAATGTAAGTCATGTTTGAAATAATTTTTCCAGCAAAAACTATAAGTAGTAAGCCAAGCTTGACGAACATGATATAAGATACTATCTAAACTCACATTAAGAAAAAAAGCAGAAGGTGGTAGGTTTAAATAATATGATGTCTGTCACACAAAACTAGTGGCTAGATCATCAAAATACTTCCCATCTACCTTTATGATACTAAGATAAAAAAATGTTAGGGAATTAGAATGTGGCTGTGCTAAAGAAGGTCAGACTGCTGCTGATTTATCATCTAGAATAAATCAAGAACAGAAGAACAGAAGAACAACATGAAGTATATTTATTAGTGTGAGGACATATCTTATTATTTTCTCCCACAGGTCTTGTTGCTGGATTTGCATTTTCTTTTATGCATTATAGTCACAGTCACACAACCAGAAGTTAATCATTAAATAACCTATTTTAAACGGAGGTCTTTGTTTCTGCAGAGGTCTTGATGTTTTCACCTCTAAAGATGTGATTTAAATGCCTATGTGATTGTTTGCAGTGTTTGCAACTGTACTTATTCTTTCATTGCTGCTTAGTTTTCAATTAATCACTTCTCAGAGGAATTACAGGAGCAGCAAATTTTCAGCACCTCTGCACTACCCAAGGAAAGCAACTTTAGTCCCATTTCTTCCCTGATACTGAGGTGAAAACTGAATAAATGGGGAACAGCAGAAAATAACATATCCATACCTTTTTCCCTAAAAAGTTGTTGAGTCTATTTTGCTCATGAAAATAATCATTAAGAGATCTCCCTCTCTGTAGTTCAACCCACAAACTTTTCCAGCTGATTTCTTCCATCCTCTTCCATTCTGTAAAGGAGGGGGAGTGAGAGAGCGTCTGGGTGTGCATCTAGCAGCTAGTCAAGGAAAACTCACCACAAAAGATTGACATCTAATTTTTTTTAATAGCATATGGAATATGAAACTGGTATTTTTATTGAACTTAAACTATTAAACTCCCTAACTATCTTAACTGGTAGTGGTTTGCTAATAGTAAATAATAGCTAAATACGTAGATCTCCACAGGCTTGAGAGGTGGTCCCAAGGGAACCTCATGAAGTGTGATGTCCTGCAGCTGTCAGGATGGGACAGTCCCAAGCACAAATACAGGCTGTGCAGAGAGCGGACCGACAGCATGCCTGAGGAGAAGGACTTGGGGTGGTGCTGACAAGAACATAGATGTGACCCAGCAATGTGATCTTGCAGCACAGAAAACCAAATGTATTCTGAGCTGCATTGGAAGAACCATTACCAAATATCAGGGAGGTGATTTTTTTACTTTTCCTTTTGCTCCATTCTCAACACACCCCATAGAGAGTCTGTGTTCAGCTCTGGGACTCCAAATGTAAGGACTGGGACCTGTTGGACTGAACACAGTGGAGGGCCGAAAAGATGATCAGAGGCCTGGAATACTGTAAGGACAGCCTGAAAAAGCTGAATCTGTTCAGATAGAGAAGAGGAGGCCCTGGGAAGACCTGTTTTCAGTCTTCCAGTACCTAAAGAGGCCTACAAGGAAGCTGGAAAGGGACCTTTAAGAAGGACATGTATTGAGAGGACAAAGGGGAATGTTTAAACTTGGAAGAGGGTAGGTTTAAATTAGATATATGGAAGAAATTCTTTACTGCAAAGGTGATGAGGCAATGGAGCAGGTTGTCAGAAGTAGTGGATGTCCTGTCCCTGGAAATGTTCATGGTCACGTTGGATGGGGCTTTGAACAAACTGGCCTAATGAAGGTGTCCCTACACATGGAACCTGATGTTATTTTTAAGCTGCCTTCCAACCCAAGCCATTCTATGATTCTCTGAAGTTAAGATATTAATTTTTTAGAATTATGTGCATCACTCTTTTGAATTTCATCTGCCTCTTTGCTTCTGAATAATACATCTTTTAGGGTCCTACTGCAATTTTTCATGCCTGGTTCTCATTCTTCATACCCTGCATAATTCATTCATCAATACATTTATTGGACATTGCTAGTTGTTTTCAGGTTATCTAGAAGTTATTTGATATAATAGACCACATGTCACAGGATATATCTCTGGGAAGGCTGACAGTGACTTCATCCACTGAAGGAAAAGGCCACTTGTTCCTAAGACTGGTTCCTCTCTTTTTTCTGGATTATTTCTCCCACTCAAACACTTTTGCTATTTTGATATGATTGCCTATTTTGCAGGAAGCTTATGCATACTTGAGTCCCTTGAGATTATTTAACAAGCTTAGACTTCAAAAATGAACCACATAATAACCTTTAAAACTAAAGTTTGACTTAAAACCATTTCATAAGTTACTAGCCTGTGAATAGTAACACAACAAGAAAATAAAGCTTAGAGTACATTATTTTCCTGCAGGTTTTAGCATATATATATATTTTTTTTTTCCTAAGGATAAAGGATGGGAAATGTAAAGCTCCCTTTATCATTATTTTTCTTCCTTATGCTTGTTATTGCTATCCCTTCCAAAACAGTTACTGCTAAGTTTGTATTTTTAACTTTTGTATCCTTTGCATTCAAAAGTCATGGCTGTGGGCATGTTATGCAAAACATTATGCCCTGACTTAAAAGACTGGATACAGGGATGAATACTTATACATGTTGTTACCTAAAAACAAAAAGAGGCACCAAAGAATGGAATTTACCTGAAATTTTGGGTTGACGTAGAATTAGGAAAATTGTCTCTTTATAGAATCTTACCAATCACTGTCTTCCTGTTTATATTTTCTTACAGAACTGAGTAACATAATGGTATCATGGGCTTTAATATTGGCTGTCACTTCAGTTTTCTAATGCAGAAGTAAACCATAAATATTTTGAAGAGAAAGCAAGAAATAAAGTGAAAAGTGTAATTTCTTTGTTATGGGATGATAATATTGTATAGTAGACACAACCTGCCCAAGGCAAGCTACTTTGAATATATTATTTTCAAAGAAATCACAATGTCTTGCATCATGAGAACTGTCATGAAATCTGAAGTGAAATTGAAAATAGTTGCTAGCTCAGTTTTCACGAATTATGCACAATGCAGTATTATGAGGAATTTCCATGCAGGCGGAAAATTAATTGTACTCAGTGCATACCATTCTCTAGTGTCTTTTCTGACACAGTATTTCAGCATTTGGTATTATGTTTATTGAATCATTATACAATTTCTATGGGTAGCTTTATGGCATTGTTAGTGAAAGGTCAGCAAGAATGATTCTGACACTGTCTTTTTAGATTACCAGAATGGATGCCATGGCAGTTCAGACCAGCTGCTGGGATATGCCACTGGCTTGTGACAGAGTTACAGTGAGGTTGGTTTTATTTATTAGTATTCCTGTTGCAATTTTTCTTTATACTTAATCCCTCTCCTGGCTTCCTGTCTGTTCTCAGTAATGCTTAATTTCTTTCCATGTTCCTCAGCAGTATTCTGATTTTTTATATCCATCCATTTTGAATAGGTCCAAAAGATGAGACATGAAATAAATGAGAAATTATGATGAAAGCAAAATTTCCATAAAGGCTGAACTTTCCAAGAATCATCATGGTCATTCAGAAAATGTTTCAGTAGATAATGACTGTCCTCTAAAATGTTTTGTTTTTTTTCTTTCTGAAGCATTTTGTTCTTGTAATTGCTTCAAAGGTACTTAAGATTCAAGCAGACAAAGAATGGGATTCTGCCTCTTTCCAGTTCTGCACTGCATGTGAAAGTACCTGCCCTCAACAAGGAGCAGTTTAATGCATTATGTATGAGAGAATTTAGCAAAGTGGAAATTAGGGTATACAGTAGGAACATTTGAAAATTAAAGCACCCGGCCATTTTAATGAATAGAATTTTACATAGCTGTATTGGGAAAAGATATATTAAACAGAATATGTTTTTAATATTGAAGTACAAATGCATTTTATACAGTGGGAATATAGGATATGTTTGTATCTATTTTCTTGGTGGAATACTATGTGATGGCATGGCTCAGTAAAAAATCCTGTCCCTGCTCAGGAGTCCAGAAATTTTTTTGAAGAGAAAAATTATTTTCATGTTTAATAGTGAAATTTTTCTTAGGTAGAGGTTTTCTCATTGAAATTTAAAACCTTTAAAAGATTTAATACTGAAATAAGTCAGTGTTCAATATGCTATAGGTATAATTATTTTTTTTTTAATCAAGCCAGAAGGATAAAATATATATAATTTATCATGCCTCTAAAGTTCATCCCATCAATAATTTGTGTATAGAAATACATATATATGAAAATAATATATATAAATTATATATACGTGTGTGTATATGTATATAACTTATATAATATAGAAATTTCTGTAATATAATATAGTATAGAAGTACATTTTCTACACATTTTACAAGTCTTTTAATGCACCTTGCCTAAAAGCAAATAGCGAAAGGCAATTTTTTGAGAAACATACAAGAATGTTTTATTTAAGTATAGCTGCAAATTTAGAATGATTCCAAAACAGGCCATTCTACAATTAATGGTTAAGAAGCCTTCATGATGATACTTCCCTTGTAGAATTTTTGTGGCTATGTTGTCATAGGGTGTGCATCTTCTTATCAGATTATTTCCTGAAGTCTATAACTGTTTGAAGCCGCTTTATGAGCTCTCTGATCATGAGAGAGGCCAGTTTTGTATAGCTATTAATTTACTTTTAGAAAGAAATTTGTGGTCCTCATTTTCAATTTTGGCATAAAATTTTATGCTGATTTTTTTTTTTTCCAAATTTTTTCTTTTCATCTTAATTTCCTACTTTTCTGAGCTTGTTGTTAATAACATAAGTATTGTAGTAAAATATGTAAAAATCAAATCACTGCTGAATATATGTAGTTTTTATTACAAAGAAGGGAGTATTTATCTTAGGGACTTTAACTACTCTTTGGAAAACCATTAACCTATAATTGTATAAAATTAAAATGCAGTTAAAATTATCACTCCATTTCAGATTGCATCAGTGTGTTTCCTTGGGAATGTGTGGGGTTAAAAACATATCCATATATCTAACTGTGGTTCAGGAAGGTTATGAAAAATTTTAACAATTTGGTAGTATTTGTCAAAAATATCTGTTGAAAAACACCATCCACTTCTTCCATGCACTCAAAACTCTCAGCAACATTTGCACTGATTTTGATTGCCCTTTTAAATGTTTTTGGACTGAGATCAGATCTGGGACATATCACCTGGAAAGGTTTTGCATAATAATGAAGCAGTAGCTGAAAGAGTTTAATTATAATAGAAGTTGAAATTCATCCATACTGTATCCTTATTATCACAGGCACTACTGAGATCTGACTTAGAATATTCTTTAAAACTCAAGTGTACCTGCTAAATGTTACATTCATTGCAATCTGCATATTACTAATTTAATTTGAAGGACTGATTCCAGTTACGATACCAACAGCTGTGAATGTAAAAGTACAGAGATGACTAGCTCCATTACCATTAAAATTCATAGGAGGTGACTTAAGCAGCTCCCATTTTCATTACATTGTTTTCCTATAGCAATCAGAATACTGTTAGACCTGATGAAAATGTGATATAGTAGAGCCTTAAACAACCCTAGTATTTCACATTTTAAGGTGCCCACTAAAATACTACAAAATTGATTTATTTTTTTTTCCTTTTACTTTTTGAGACAGTAAATCCAGAAAAAGTCCAAAAATTCCTTAAATTGGCCAGCATATAAGTGAAATGGATCATCCTAATAGTCATTGGTGAATATACATATTGTTTTCATGCACCTTTCCTGCAAAATTCAGGTGACTGTCGAGGGTTTTATTCTATCTGCATTGGTGGCTGTTTTAGCCATTTTAATGTTGAACTGGACTTGTTTCAATAGTGATCATTTTTGTTAACAGACTGATTCATTAAGTGGGAAAACATCAGGAGAAAATTCTCTATTTCTTTTTGACAGAAAAGAGTAATGTTATGGCAAAACTCTTGATTCCTTTCACACAAGGCAGAAGCATCTCTAGTCAGTTCCATCCACACCAGCTGCAGTATGTTGATTTTAGCAATTCCCATAACATTGCTCTCCTTTTCACATTTGAATTAAACTGTTTAAATGGCCAGGAATCAAATCACTATGTCTATAATGCTAAACTGACCGTTCTCAGGGTATTTTTCCGCTGCTGCTGTCATCTGGCATGGAATGGCTGTCAACCATTCTGCCAAGCATGCCAATCTCTGTTGGGAATGGTCCTTATCTGTGACAGCTCTTGAGGCACAACCAGAAATAGTTTGAGAGAGTGCTAGCTTGTTTAGGATGAAATCATGACAGGGACTGTTGAAACACTTTGAAGATACACATGCATATAAAAGTAACAGAAAAAAAAAATTAAATTTACTTTTGGCAGTGTTTAGTTTATTAATATGGACATGATAAAATGCAGTTGATGCTTATGACACTGAACTTTACTGTCTCTTTTTCTCAAACTGAACCTTGCAGACGAGAGTTTTCCTCAAAGATCTTTGTCAATAAGGCCGAAGTGCCAAGTAGGTAAGGAAACTCACTGCATTGAAAAAGGAAATGCTGAAGAAAGAAGCATCCAGCCCTGAGGACAGAAAAAAATGTTCATTCACTGTTGTAAGTCTTTGCCTCATTGCTTCCTCCTAGAACTGGACATCATCTTTATCTTCCAAAGACAGCCCCTTCTTCCCATTTATAAACCATGGAAGCAGCAAGAAAGAAAATGAACTGCTCTTAAGCCTCTATATCTTCTGTTTCATTATACAGCAAAACTTTACACTATGCCAGTGATTTCAGAGCCCCATCGTAACCTAAAGCAGATCAAAACACATGCCTGTCCTTTAATTAAGCAGAGTAGATACCTGGTTCTAAAAAAGAAATGAATGGGAAATTCTTGACCAAATTCTGCAGAAATACAAAGTTAAGTGAGTACAAAGAGAAACCTCTCATGACTAAGATATTCACATACAGAAAAGAGAATGGTTAGATACCTTGATTATATTTTTTTAAAAAAACCAAAAGTTATACAAACAGAGCATTTTAAGCTTTGTAAAATTTTAAACTTATGGAAGCAAGATATAAATTTTCAAAATATTCTTAGTTAGCAGAAGATTATAAATCTTACTTTCACAACTCGTGCAGATACAGGATGATATATTGTAACTACTGTAATGTTACATTGCTTTCAAATGTTCTTGTCCTGTTAATGAATACTAAAGAAATTCAGTGTGGCATGTCATTATGTTAACTAGTGTTAAATTTCTATTAACTCTTCTGCTCTGGGAACCAAATGAGCTATTCCTCATGTGAGTTTAGTCTTCCTACCCAGAATATCTCTTGCCTGAGACCTCTTCCTCCCTAAGAGAAAGAACAGAGACAGCTCTTACAGAGCAGTTCCTGTTCCTCACCCAAGATGGTCAAAATCCTCACTTGGCCACAAATTAGAGCACTATCAATTAAGCCATATTTTTTTATTTTATCATACTATCCTAGGGATTAACCAAAATGGAGTGTTGGATTATTGTTATATTAAATATCCAGCCAAGACCTTTGTTTTAGAGAACAAGAGTACAATATCTGACAATATTCTGAATGAACCCAGAGTATCCTGCTCAGGTCTTTAGCATGGAATTTGATCCAATGAAGTTCATTTTCCTCAACCCTTCCAGGTTTGTCCTTAGTACTTGTCACATCATTAGAATTAAAGAATCAGTTGCTAGAGATAGTGTCAGGCTACACAATGACTGTATAATGATACAGATTACTGAAAATGTCATAAAATAATAATCAGCTTCCACACTTCAATGCTACCACCGTATTGTACATCAGCTGTGAGAAGAATTATCTGATAAAGACAAAGAATCAACAGTTCTTCAGTCTAGTCTGTTTGTTTGTCCTTTAAGGAAATATCTTCAGTACTTTTTCTTACCTTTATTTGCTTCACTTCTTGAGTCTAAACAATCAAGATTTTTCATCTTCATTTCTGTTTCCTGTCTCCCTGAGAAGGGGACAGGTAGAGGGCATTGGTGGACACTTGGCATCCAGCAAAGGTCAACTCGTATATAATACCTCAGCAACTCTTATAAGGTGTACAGGTTAATTCTTAGAAAACAGTTTGAAAATGTACTTTGCATGTTTGAAGACACTGCTTAAATTTCTGACTGTCTTGAGATTTAGTGATAAAATATGAAACACTATTCTCAAAAAGTTTTATTTAGAACTCTTAAAAAAACCCCAAACAAACAAAAAATCCCAACAACAACAACCCCTGCCCCCCCCAAAAAAAAACCAAAACCAAAACCATAAAGAACCCCAGACTTAAAACTCCTACAAATTCAGAACAGATATAAAGGTCTGGAACCTAACATTGGATGCTGAGATTAGCTCAGTTGGTCAGAGCATGGTGCTAATGAGACCGAGGTTGCAGGTTCATAGGTTGAATGTCTATATGGGTCATTCACTGAAGAGTTAGACTTGATCATCCTTGTTGGTCACTTTCAACTCAGAATATCTTGTGATCTGATAAGCACTCCAATAGGAGATGAAGAATTTCTTAAATAATATGCACTGTGTATATTTTCAGTATAGCACTGTGGCTATACTGAAAGCAAACATTTAAGTATCACGCAGATGCTTTAAAATTTATTCATAGATTTATAGAAGTAGACACCTGTCCTATTTTAGGGCAAATTTGGGAGGAAAACTCCAAATGGGGGTTTCCCCAGGGAAATGACCCCTCCCCCCCAACTGGTCCAGGAAAGGAAAAAAATTCTTTTGAGAGTAGTGGAAAAAGCTGTTTATTTAACAGAAATTGAATAATATTAAATAATAAAACCTCTCGCTGTTCAATGGAATGGCAAATCTAGGAAGAAAAGTCTTTTTCATGTGGTGTAGCTCGGCTCGCTCAGGTTCTTATCAGTCCCTCTGGCACTGGAAAGTGCCAAGGCCCAGGCCCCGGTGTGAGTTCCTGGGGTTTGGCTGGGTGTTCAGTCCAGAGCAGGTTTGCACAGATCCAAGAAAAAGGGGAAAAAAACCCCCAAAGGTCCGGGGAACTCCTCTGCCTCAGCTAGCTAAAACTAACTAAA